GTTTAAAATTCCTGACGTGTATGGGGTTTATCAGTTTAAAGTTGATTATGATCGTGTTGGCTACACTCATCTTTATAGCACCACTCAGGTTTCAGTTAGACCTTTGCAACATACTCAGTATGAACGATTCATTCCTAGTGCGTATCCATACTATGCCAGTGCATTTTCTATGATGTTTGGTGTTTTTATATTTTCATTTGTATTCTTACATTTTAAAGATGAACCCGAAAAGAAAAAGAGCGATTAAATTTTGTTATTACTTTAGTTTAAAATTTATAATGCTTTTCAAATTAATAAATTATTTATAATATTATTGATTTTGATTGATTGATCTATTACACTCTTCAGCATCTATAAATTTTAAATTGTATAATTGCCAGCTTTTAAATTAAACTTGCATTTCTCATTATTTAGATGAATTAAAACAAATCAGTATTAATTCTTAATAGAAGATCTGTATTATAACCAAGAATACATTAAAAATAAGTCTAAAAAGTCAGTTACATGTTTAATTATCATATTAGTCTGATAATAAATTAGACAAATTATTTTTTTTCTATTTTTAAAAATCCAGATGTGTTTGAAAAATACTTGGCATTGGCTTCATTAACTTTATTTTCAGCAGCCTGAGGATTTACTATTTCCAGACCCTAAAAGAGAATCAATTATATTTCTGTTGTGGACTTTAATTGATTTAACTAAATACATGATATAAGTAAAATTTTTTAAATAGTGCCCTACCTGTAATGGAGTAAAAGCAACACTTGAGGCTGTACCAGAAATTTGTTTCTTAACAGATGTACTGCCACCCCAGACGTTTTGTTTTTGTAAATTTTTTTGAAGAGTTTTTGAAATTCGCACTTTAGTTTTTTCATCCACCTGTGGTAATCTAATTCTTCCTGTTCCTGATTTACCAATTGTACCCCTAGTGTATCCTAAATCATCTTGATAAGCATCATCTTCAATCTAAAATAGATTTATTACAAATTCATTTCAATAATTCTCTATTAAATAACACAAACCTCTGCAAAGTTCATTCTGTTGGCATGTTTCCGGAATTCTGTTATTGCATACCTTTCTTTCATTTTTCTTACTCTTTTACCGCCCCTTTTTTTGCGGGGAGCCTCCACTGGTTTCGGTAAAGGTTTAACAAATTTAACAGGAGGTGGCTCTTGTAACTTATCCAATTTTTTGATTATGTCTTCTTTAAACATTTTGCCAATTTGTCCATCAGGGCTTTCATGACAGGCATCCACCCTTGCTGCAAGAATGCATTTGGCAGCCACCAATCGAGCTGCTTTTCTTCTTAAATCCTTAAAAATGAACATGAATTAAAACTATCTACTTTTGAAAAAAAAAAAAACATATTTACTGGGGGAGAGTTCTGAACAATTTCAGAATAGTAAACAAATCCGGTATGGGGTAGCATTGTAACTTGTGAAAATCCAGCTAATGTTTTCTTTTGTTGCCCTAATATAAGAACATTGCAGGCAGGTATTTTTGATAAATTAGTTAATCCCCCTGCAACTCCCATCATTTTTGCAGCAATAGAGGCACCAATTATTACTGAGATATTTGGTGCTATAAATGCCATTCTGCTTTCAACATATTCCAGTATTTTAAGTTTGAAATTATTTAATTCAATTCCCATATCGCAGGCTTCATTTATTTGAGCTCTCTCCATATCAGTTAAATTTGTTCTAAAAGTAATTAAAAAATAATACAGATGAGACTAAAGCCATTGAAAATGTAGTTGCACTACCCTTGTGTAGTTGATGCTGTAACAGATACAACCATTATAGTTGCTTGTGTTAAAAACTGCTGAAGTATTTCATTATTTTTAGCTTGATCTAAATCATTTCCCAATTCCTTCACTGTCCTTATATACTCAAGAGGGCTTACAACTAATGAATCTAATTCTGGAAATCTTTTCTGATATTTATCCTTCACAAATTTGTGCACTGTCACTAAAAATATAATATCATATAGATGCAGTTAACAATTATTTATACAAAGTAATAAGAGTAAATACCTATTTCATTATCTACATCAGCTGCAACGTTATTAGCTTCAACAATCAATTGATATTCAGGATCAGCTTCAACTGGTCCTATTAATTCTGAGGCTTTGCGTGGTTGAATACCATAGCTTGAAATTTGTTTCATAATATTCTGCAGTTTGTCCGAATCTCGTAATTTACACAATTCTCTTATGGAATTAATTTGAGCCGTGTCCTGTTCCATGGGAATTTGTTTAATATCTGGTTTTTCTTCCTTTTCATCTTTGATGCAATCCGTGTCCATAAGTTGCTCAAATTCTTCTTGATCATTTTCTTCTAAATCTGCTAGTAATTCGTCAGCAAGAGACATTTTAGTGAATAATGAATGATACTTATAACTTTACCTTGTTTTTTTACTATTTGCTTAATAAAATTAGATAAATGTATTAATACGACGATAAGTTTATTAGGTTAATTAAGTAAGGTTATATTTGTTTATAAATAATGCAGAGACCTTAGCGCTACCTAACGTCAAGTTTTGAGAGTGAAATAAGTTGGATTCATTATGTTGATCTATAGATGAATCGAATTGTCTTTTATTTTTGTCAGGTCAGTTTAATTTGAATAAGAGAGCGGCAATACAGATGAAATTCGAAAAAGACAGGTAATTTTAGGCTTAATAAAATGAGTTATGAAAATGGTTACATTAAATAATTCTTCATAAACATCTTTTACACCTTTCTCTCATTTTTAATAACTTCGTATTTGTTGAGCATCGGAAACATTTAGCTTATTCTTATATTTCTTAAATAGATTTTCAATTTCAGAACAAAATGCTTTTAATTTACAATTTGTTTATTTAGAGTAATAAATAAATCGATTCATTACTAACAATAGATTTTACATTCTTCGAAATTCTTAGGCAAAAGTATCTGTTCAAATAATTTCTCAATGTTTTTCTTATCACTTTTTAAAATGTTTTGTGATTTACCTAAAGGCGATCGTAACAAGTCGAGTTCAGTGCAATCGCTGGATAACAGAGCTTTTATGCGTGGTTTAAACAATTTAAGAGACAAGTGAAGGTAAAACTGGTTGGAATTCGAGTTATGGGTAATTTGCACGACGTTTATCTTTGCGAGACGCAATGTCTTTTAATAAAATAATCAACTTAATAGAACAAAACCCATATTATATATTTTAAAAAGAACTTTTTTTAATTATGATTAGTAACTGATTAGTAAAAACTAGTTACTTTTCTCTTTCATATGTAGGTATTGTATTGGGAATGTTTTAGTTTTGTTTATTTTTGTACAATTATAATAATGTTACACCGCTGAAAAAGGAAACTAACGCGTTTTATCAAAAAAGTGCTTTAAAAGAGATTTATATTTTCAAAAAAGAATAAATGTTGGTGTTTTTTTAATTAAAATTTACATATTAGTGATTGTTGGATATGTGGATACATAAACTTACGACACATAAACTCAAGTTTATTACTTAAAATTTAATTGTTGCCCTTTGTTATAGCAAAATACCGACTGATCGTGAGTGAAATTATGAAGTAAAAAGTGAATGTGGTGTTGAACTTTTGGTTCGTAATAATATATGTTGCGTGGAAATGACCGCTATTCGCTTAGTATTTTTTTTCTGCGGTTGTTTAAATCGAATCATCTTATTGCCACAAAAATCTTCGAAATGACTGTCGATGGCACCGCCGTGGTAGTCGCGGTTCGGGAACTGATACGCGGTGCTTAAAAGTTTTCGCGAGCAGGTGAGTTTTAATTAATTCCGTTATAACTAAATTACACATGCCGATGTTGGCCGGTATTGCTATTTATCGTAGTTGAATTGCTCTGTGTTCTGTATCTTATTAAAATTCAAGCAAAAACTCTTACTGTTTAGACGACGTGTTAGGTGTGGGACACGCAAAGTTTTTCGATCATTCACTTTTGCACAACACACAATTTCTGTTCTTCCAATATTAACTTTTGTGCGTTTCTTTAATTACCTTCCGTAGTGTTTATTTTAATAGATTCGCTGTGCCACGCATTAAGTATGTTGTAGAATGTAAAAACGTGATTTTACTATATCGGTTTTCGGTCAATGTTTTTTGTTTTGTACAGATAATATGTGAACTCGAAGTTAGTGCATGGAAATAACTGTTTGTAGTAGTAGAAGTCCAATCAATGGCAAATTTCCATGATTTACAGCAGGACTGGTTTTCCCTGTGCCAGGATCCAGAGTACTGGACGTCATCAGGTACATGCTTAATTATGTATTCTTAATTATGATAAATTATTGCCTTGATTGGCATTGCTTGGAACTTGTAATAGCAAACGTGGATATCTTAGATAAAAGGGTCCAAATTTAAGGATCTAAACGTGTTTTTTCTTTTTTAATAATGATGAAGTGGGAATTGTTTTATCGTAATAGGAGTAAATGTACTCCATACTCTATTCAGATAGCGTTTTGGTTTAAAAATGTGTGAGAAGTTGAAAAAGTCGTACAAATGAATTTATTCTGCAATCGTATCTAATATCTTTCACCGAAACGGTAAATGCCAGTGGTTTTTGCATAAGATGTGCCTGTTCTTACACACCCACATTGAATTCCAGAAAACGGTTTTTTATGTACATTTACTGATTTAGCATCTATTAAGTAATCGGACGAAATGGAATGTTTTGATGCCTGTCGTTTCAACTAATACAAGCCATGTTTTTTATTCTTTTTGTTTATGTAATTTGAATGAAATGAGAAATCACTTTCAACTTAACTTCAGAAAATCTAGTAAGTTTATAAGTAATGAAGTATTAATAAGTTTTCTACGTTTACATTTGTAGTCTTGAAGAAGTTCCTCTTCCGAGGCGAAATATCGGTGTGGCTAAATTAAACTAATTTTAAAATACACATTTCGTGGTGGTCTTTATATAAGTTAAAAGAAATCCGTGAGGGAGTTTCGAGAATTAAAAGTTAGTTTTGCACAAAAACTAGTAAATAACTAATTGCGCGAAGCACATCAGTAATGTTTGATTTGGTGAATCTGTTACAAATTAGCAGCGAAACAAAATAGACGCTAAATATCAAAAGTTCGTTCAAAAACGACGAAGTTTAACCATTTTTAAAATCGTCAAAAATTGCGCTCTCTGAAAAATGTTAAAATCTTTTTGGTCTTAATCTGACTTTTTAATATTCAGCGGCTATTTTGTTTTAGTACTAATTTTTAACAGTTTCAATAAATTAAACGTTTAAACAAAAACAATTATATATATTTACTATTTTATATGCAATCTAACTTTATTCACACTGTAACTTCCGAAAGTCCTTAAGA